CCTGGTCTAGTGATCAGAGCAGAGGATTGGAAACTCAGATGCTTGGGTTTTGTTCCAAAAACCGGAAGGAGTGTTATCTTGTGGTTAGAATAGTAGTAGAGTATTGATAGCTGGGAGTCTTGTGTTTTGTTCCCAACTGTGGGAGGGGAGTGGGCTCTTGTGGTAGTGGTGGTAGTGGGTTGCTGTGAGTCAGAACTCTGGAGCTCTATCCTTAGCTCTCTCACTGACTTTCCATCCAGAACCTCGGTCATGTTGCTCTGTGCCTTATTTTGTTACTCCTTCATACGGGTACAATAATATTCACCTAACTTCAATGAGGGTGTGAGGCTTGGTTAAGCAATACGCAAAAAGCCCTCGGAGAGCACAGAGAAGAGCAGAGTATGATTGTATGGGATGGCTGTGTTCCCCCCAGCACCCTAGAGACTGAGGATGTAACCAGAACCAGCGTCTGTACTTGAACCCTGAGCCTAGCTTCCAAAGAATGCAGAACCTGCCTTCAAGAAGAACACTGCCAAGTGCAACAGAAACTGTTTATTTGCCACAGCATTTCACATAGGTATTTTCTTTGTACAGTAAATAGATGCTTTTGCCCCAGGTCTAGGTGGAGTTTAAACCCTACATGGATCGGGATGAGCCACATTTTGATCCTGTTAACTGGATTTTTTTTTTAAATGAAAATGTGCATTTTATTAACACAAAACATGGGGACAAGGAGACACATTCTCAAATCAAAGAGTTTTAAAAGGCATATAAACCTCATGCTTCGGGCCTTAAGCCAATCTGTGACTAGTGGAGCTGTGCAAAATTTGTCAACCAAAACTTTGCCCCTTGCTGCCTACCCCATTTGTGCCTTGCAGTATTGGGCCAATCCTCAACTATGTGGATTAGCACGTGCTGAGGATCTGGCCCGAAAGTATTTGTGAGCTCTTGGGTACCATATGTTGGATCCCAGCAGAGTGCAACACCAGGTTTAGAACTACATGGAGGATCTAAAGAGAGTAATTGATTCTTGTCCTCCACCTTGCACAGCAGCAGGTCCCATGGTATAAATTCCTGCTGTGATTTAGAAGTCAACATGCTGTTTGACTTGCATCTGAAGAAGTGAGGTTCTTACCCACGAAAGCTTATGCTCCCAGTACTTCTGTTAGTCTCAAAGGTGCCACAGGACCCTCTGTTGCTTTTTACACATTCAGACTAACACGGCTACCCCTCTGATACTTGAAGAGGTTGATTCCCTGCATTAAGTGCAAAATTCAACCCCTATGGAGTTGTCACTGATGCCTGCATAGTACTTCTGGCATGATTAAAACAGTAAAAGAGATAGGGCGGAGTCTTCAAAAGTGCCTAAGCCCCCACTTTCAAAAGTGATTGGGAGCCACATTTTCAAAGGTATTTAGGTGCCAAGAGATTCAGATAAGTGCCCAGAGGGATGTTCAGAAGTGTTCAGGTAGATGAGGCACTTAACTCTCATGAGAGTGGCTAAGTCACTGGTGAAAATGGAACATAGGCTCCTAAGGCACATAGGCACTTTTGAAAATTGTACCCATAGCCGCTACAACAGTTGCTCGTTTTTCTTTCCTTAACTGGCTTCCTCGGCTGTGTCTGGCATGGTGGGATTCAGAAGGATCTTCATTTGTTGTTCTTCATGTCTCAGATGCCTGGGTCTCAATGAAAAAGAATATCAGTAAATATTAACATTTATACAAGCATCAAGAGATGTACTTGGCTTAAAACATGCTTGGAGCTGATGGGGCCAGATCCCACCTGGTGCAAATCAGCCATAGATACACTGGAGTTAATGGGATCAGATTATCTATCTAATCTATCTAAATGACTGGAGGATAGCTAATGTGATGCCATTTTTTAAAAAGGGCTCCAGAGGTGACCTTGGCAACTACAGGCTGATAAGCCTCACTTCAGTTCCGGGCAAATTGGTTGAAACTATCGTAAAGAAGAAAATTGTCAGAAACATAGATAAATATAATTTGTTGGGAAATAGTCAATATGGTTTTTGTTAAGGGAAATCATGCCTCACCAATCTACTTGAATTCTTTGAGGGGTCAACAAGCATGCGGACAAAGGAGATACAGTGGATATAGTGCATTTAGATTTTCAGAAAGCCTTTGACAAGATCTCTCACCACAGACTCTTAGGCAAAATAAGCAGTCATGGGATAAGAGAGAAGGTTCTCTCATGGATTGGTAACTGGTTAAAAGATAGGAAACAAAGGGTAGGCATAAATGGTCAGTTCTCAGAATGGAGAGAGGTAAATAGTGGGGTCCCTCAGGGGTCTGTTCTAGGATCAGTCCTATTTAACATATTCATAAATAATCTGGAAAAAGGGGTAAACAGTGAGGGGGCAAAATTTGCAGATAATACAAAACTACTCAAGATAGTTAAGTCCCAGGCAGACTGTGAAAT